TTTTATTTCTTGTTAATGGGGGGGGGGGGGGCTGAGAAGACCCCTATGTGAGAGTACATTGGAGGTGACAAGAGCTCTCTATGCTATGACACAGGAACTGCAATTCAGCAAAGAAGTTGTAACACTTTTCTGGCAGTATGCTCGTATCAGAAAGGGCTGCTCCTAATGCATGAAAGCCTTGCAACAGTTATTTTGCTAGTTCTGATTCATGCAACAAGTTCCGGTTGTCCTTCTGTGTGACAGGTTTCCATTGTGTCACTGTGGCTATGAGCAATTCATAAAGAAATCCTGCTATACCATTAATAAGGAAAGTGGCAATAACTATGACTTCTTCTATGTTGGAGCCAATTGTGTGACTTGTGTAAGTCATCTTTGAGACAATTCTATGACAGAATTCTTCTGAGACAATTGTGCGACAAATTCAAATACACCTTACCAGCACACACATCGCTGTCGCAAGTTGCGCCATTTGTTGCACTACCACAAGACAGATTTCTAATGAGTTTCTACGACACTCAATGAATTTTGCAGAGTTCAGAAGGGGGTGATATACATTCTAAGTACAAACTCCATCTGTCTGGAAATCTCATGTGTCACAGTGAATCATTACATCCAAAAATGGGTAACACATGAATTTTTCATTCACTTCTTTTCTTTTTCTTTGTAAGATGCAGTTTCTATAGAGAGGAAAGAACATCATCGTTTTCATCTGTTTAAGGAGCAGCCACTGAAATACTTTTATTGTTTAAAGCCTATCCCCAGGAAGAAAAAAATATCCTTGCAATGTGGCTACCACAGCACTACAAGGGTTGATTGCTTGGTTATATCTAGGGCTATTGTGTAAAGCACTTTTACTTACCCCATCCCTGCTCCGCTGGCAGTCAGAGCTCAACTGGTCTCCCCTATGCGCCAGCTTGTGGACTGTTCATTGGCATTCTCACATATAATGCAGCTCTATGGGCCTTGCATTAGACGCAATAACATCAGTGGGCCTCCAACTGCTGGAGTTTGGGGAGAGGCTGTGGGCACCGGCCATGGAGCCAGAGGGAGCAGCGTCAGGTAAGTAAAAGTCCTTTACAAAATACCTCTACCCCTAGAAATAAACAAAGAATTAACCCTTGCAGTGTGGGGCTAGCCCCACTCAGGGACATCTGAAGGCAGGGTGATACCCACAGTGGGTACCGGGTGATACCCCACCGTGACATAATTGCACGTGACGTCATCGTGCACACGTGTAATGACATCACACGCTGTTACCTGCCAGTGGCTATCTTGGACACCGGCAGAGGGAGTAGAGGATGTTCACTCGGTGGGATAAGGAATGCAGCCGGGTCTCCTCCTCTCTCATCAATGACCAAGTGGCCAACTTTTCAAAGGGGCAAAAGGGGTGACACTAAAATGACTGTCAGTCATTTTTTTGTCATGTCTCCAATGGTGTCACCCGGGTGTGGGCCACACCCCATGCACCCCCCTAGTGATGCCACTGGACCCACTGCAAGGGTAGTTTATTTTTTTTCAATGGAGATAGGCTTTAAAGGAAACTTGTCATGAGTGAGGTACAGGCAACTAATGCTGACCTTTCATATTGAAAATACTGGCTGTCATGCTGACAATTTGGTTTCAATGTATTTAGAATCAGTGATCCGGAACCTGCATACAAATAAGAAATTCAGACTTTCCTCTGACTTCCATTTGCATCGTCAAGCAACTGGTGTTTTCCAGTGGAATCCAGCAGTAGTAGCCCGCTTATTTCTGGTGTATTTTAACATTGGTTCAATAAAGATTTGACAATGTGAAATATTTTGTTCAGAAAAATGCTTACATCTTCATAAAAGAAAAAAATGTGCATTTATAATTTTTTTGCATTGGATCCAATAAAGCATTGCAACTGCGATCAGTTGATCATGAGTGCAATGCTCTGGCTTCATCAGATTCTCCCACTCGTCCCTTTCCATATCAAGCTATGGACATTCACTAACATGGATTGAAGAAAGTGTCCATGGACTACAAGTTTGATGACGTCACCGCATTTGTATTCCTTTGAGAACTACAAGTCCGATGGGAGTCGGGGGGTTGTCGATGTGACCATGTTTCATGTTACAGCCTGAATATAGTCATAGCATGAAACACGGTCAGAAAGGTAAACTTTAGGTAAAGAACAACTCACATTTCAGGGCTCTTCTGCAGAAATACTGTATATTTCCCTCTGCTGCTCTTACTTGTAATCTGTATTAGAACCAGTAGATGGCAGTGTAGCTATCTTCAGAGTAGACTTGTGTCTAAATGCAATCCATAGCTCATTGTAATCTGTGCTTTGAACAATGTACTGTTTGTTGTTTTGGGGTATTTCAGGTATGTAGAAAAATGGTCATTTTCTGAGCAATTGTGGTCCAGACTATAAATGAATAGCTTTTGTGTTCCCGATATTGACTTGAAAGACAAATGTCTGTTTTAAAGAAAGACAACTAAAGGGATTCTGTAAATATGTATCGCAAGTACAGAAATCTTCATACCTCTTAAATTTGCTGGATTTCTCTCCCATCCAGATTGGATGGATTTTCACAGTATTGAGGATGTTGTGTATAATATAATATAAAATATAATGTATAAATAGATTGTTTACAGAATTTGTCTTCCCATGAATTCCCATGAATTTGTCTTCCCATGAATTAAAGAATGAAATCGTAACTCTTGCAGTGGGGCTATCCCTTTACTGCAAGGGTTAAGTGCTCATTCTATCTAGGAAGCTAAAATAACAAAGGGTACCCCCCCCCCCTTTCCAGATAGTGTATTGTGTGTAAAGGCAGAGCTGGTGTTTACTTATCATGTTACAATGGGGAACATCTGATTACAGTCTGACACCCTGGTATCAAAATGATTTTCCTGTGGAGAAAATGTAGAATTTTTAGGCTTCAGATCTAATAAAACGTTCATAATAAAATGAAGAAAGTCTGCAATGTGAGTCATGAAAATGTACACATGTATACATCATCACTGTACCTCTTCATTACCACAATAAATGCTAATCACTTACAAAGGTGGAGAGGGACTTAAAGGTCATTAGATAATATAAATACAGGGTGACCAGGGTGATTACTCTCCATGAACAAGGGCAGTATTTTGAAGCTATAGTGTAACTTTTATCACATGTAAAATATATGCATAGAGAATACATGAACTGCATTTGCACATAAACAGGTCAAATAACATTGAGCTTAACGTCCTTTTGTAAGTGTTCCATAAACTACACGTTAATTTTCTTTTTTGTTATAAATGTGCAACAAATGTGCTACACTTTGTCAGAGACCTTTGAAATGACTTTTGTCTGTTCCTGACACCTGCGTAATTTTCTTCCATGCAAAACTACTGTAGCTGTTGAAAACTAACACATGTGCCCACAGCAGTCTTGTTCTTTGTGAAAAGCTATGCCTCCGGTTTATTTTAATTATCCAAAAAACAATATTCTTCTTTTGTTTTGCAGGTATCCTGTTCACGATGTTGGTATTTGGACCTGCCTGCGGGTTCATCTTGGGATCTTTCTGTACGAAGATTTACGTTGATGCTTTACTTGCAGACACAAGTAAGTGTTTTTGTGTGTTAACTCTTTCATGACCAGGAGGTCATCAACACCTAAATGTTCAGGCCAAATTCGAGAGCGTCCATATGTGTTAACTATAACTACCTGGCCTAAAAAAATTAACACCTTCCCTTGGAAAAAGGTAGTATAGGCAGCAAAGTTCTTTAAAATCTGACTGAATGTGTGCAGCCGGGAGCACGCATGACAGACTGTGTGGGACCCTAAGAGTCTGCGCTGGATCAGAGACCGTCACCAGCGCTGGAAGGACTATGGAAAACGAGTGGAAGCAAAAAGCTGTTCAGGATCAAGAGGCATCACACAAGGTAAGTCCTTAAAGCAGTATTGGGTGGGGGGTTAATTCTAGCTTTAATGTCACTTTAATTCAACTTTCGGAATAGCCACTTGAAATTCACAGGTGGGTGCTTACTATTTAGATGCTATATACAGTATGTTATATGGATCCAACAGCCATTGCTATGTGTTCATATAAATCCCTGAAGGTTTGTGGTCTAATGATAGAACAGCAGAATATCTTTGGAGAGTTTGGGAGAGGGAATTGTGAAGAGAAGTCTATTAATCTTGGTTCACAGAACAGAAACTACTCTATAGGACCTCCACATATTTAGTTATTTGCCAACTACTGAGCTGCCTCTGAAACATATTGCAGGCAGACAGCTATTAATTTGGTAGACTTTGGTATGGACCATGTTTGTACTGTGCAGCATCTTAATATAGTCTTCTGTTATTGAAATTAAACTACTATAGTTAGCTTCTTTCAATAATATTGCCATCAGGAAGTCAACAAATTATGAGTTTCGACTCCAGTTAACCATAATTGGTAGTTTTTTTTATGACTCACAGACTGATTCAACACTGAATACAGATATGTTATGACACCATTTTGTAAAGAGGCAGATAAGCTTACAATCTTCAAGGTTGGAGGTTATAACATGTTATCTGTGTGCATACATGTGAGTTGCACCATCCCAGCCCAGCCAATCAAGGGGCCGAAGACGCTGAACCTAAAAAAAGATTATGTGAAGATGGAAGCGCCAACGCCACTGGAGAGAGCTGACATTGCCACGCTGGAGGGGATCGAATGCAAAGTAAGTTAACCATACTGTGCTAATAATGTGCTAATATGCTGTGCATACTAGCACTTTATGGCAAACACCTCCAGGGGGCACACAATGTCTATTTTAGTTTGACAGTTTACTACCGCTTTGATTACATATATTTTTCCGACCCTTAACACAGAAAATTCCCCCCTTGTCAAGATCTTTGGAGTGTTGTTTATAGGGCTGGATACAGTTTTACTTTTACAATGAGGGCAAGCAGCTTTTTAGCCTAATACTTAAAGTAGGAAGTACTGCAATTGTTTGTGGAACCTCATTGTTTATACTTCTTATTTTTTTTGTATTTTTCAGTATGTTTGACATCATGCTTCACTGTATACAGCTTTCTCAACAAAACATGTTTTGTGAATAGTTTTTTTCATTGTCAGTCTGCTGTGCGCTTTGTCAGTTTGCCTAGTCTGCAGCCCAATGGGCAACTAAAGGAGCACATACAGCAGGCTTACAACACTGCTACTTGTTTATACACAGTGGGTTAGCATTGTCAGTCTGCAGCAGGAAGTGCTCTTATTGGCAAGAAAGAAATTTGCAACAACTTCACAGTAAAATTATTTGTTTAAGAAAACTGTATTTAATATGGAGTGCCAGGGGTGTGAAAAGAGTGCTTTTGAGAACGGCCTCCCTTCATAGTTACTGGTTTCACAGTTACAGTGGTAGGCTAAGAGCTAGGTCATTTTAGATATGCTATGAGCCTGGAGCTTAGTCCTTTTAGGCTTGAGTGAATTTTCTAGTATATAGGACCAGGAGAAGCTGTCAGAGTCATTTTCGATATCTAAGACAATAAAAGATTAAGGTAATTTGATTGGTGGATTAGATTGATTAATTTTGAATATTTGTGGAAGGTTGCCTTTGAGGTACCAACCTTACTTGGTACCTCTGTACCTTTGAGTCAAGGAATTTGTTTAGGTGAGTTGTTTGAGGTCTGTGTTTAGCAAAGAGATTGGTTCAGTAGTTCTCGAGAGTCTTGGTAATCTTTGTTTGTTTTGGGATCACTGCTATGGAAGCTTTTAACAATTCAGGGGATGTGAAAAGTCCCAAAATGTGATTTGATAGAGTTCCTAAAGAACCTAATCTACCTTTTGTATTAGTCATCAAGGCCAGGGACTTTACCTTTCTTAAGATTCTTAATATGAAATTGAATTTCTCCCTCTAAAACATCTTCATTTAGGGTGGAGAAGGCTGATGGGAATAGGCTGGATATGGGGAACCTATTGAGCAATTTAGCTTTTAGAAACAATAATATTCACCTGGAACTTAATATTTTGGATTTGGTATTGAAGGAACTGGGATAGGGATTATTGACTGGCTTGTTCTAGCTTATCCCGAACAGCAGTGAGCGAATAGCCGAATGCCGCCGAGCGTTTCCGCCCAATAGTTTCCTATTGTCCAGCGGCCCTGCTGCTGTAAAAGAAAAAAGAAAAAAAAACTCTCCCGGGCGCTCTGGGAGCCTCCCGCTCCCGGCCTCCCAGGAGAGAAACACTGATGTGTCTTTTTTTCTTTATTCTGACACGCGATGTCAGAATAGAAAAAATAAAAATAAAATTCCCATTGAAAAGCATTGGGACATTACTATTGGCTATTTCAATTTGCAATAGCCAATAGTAAACTAGCATTGTACCCACCCTCTGCTGATGGATCTGATGGTGAACTGCAGCAGAGGGCGGGTACAATGCTAGTTTACTATTGTCTATTGCAAATTGAAATAGCCAATAGTAATGTCCCAATGCTTTTCAATGGGAAATTATTATTTTTTTCTATTCTGACATTGCTCGTGTCAGAATAAAGAAAAAAAGACACAGCCCTGTTTCTCTCCTTGGCGGCCGGGAGCAGGAGACTCCCGGGGCGCCAGGGAGAGTTTGCTGTTTGGAGATCAGTGTCCCTGGTTAGCAGGTAACCAGGGACGCTGAACTCACTGCAAGTGGCCGAAGCCAGCCGTAAGATCACGGCTGGCTCCGCCCAGCTGTCAGAAGCAGGCTGTCGGCCTGCCAATGGCCGGCCGCCCGGCCATCTTCGGCTTTCAGTACGGCTCAGCCGAGCGAATGCATATGCGTTCGGCTCAGCCGTGCCGCTTGCCCATGATCGGTAGCTGTACGGGCTATTGTGAATAGCCCGTAAAGCACCCCTTCGGTTCTACTGAACCGAAGTGGTCCTGAGGCCGAAGCTACGGCCAGATCCTTCGGCAGCTTTGTGAATAGACCCCATAGTTTGTATTCTATCATATTTGACTGTAGTGTGTTTTTGATATGATAAGTTGTACTTTGTATATTAGAATACCTTTAATATCTGATCTAGCAAGACCTTGGCTGGTTAAATGTTTGGAGGGGAATTTCAAGCAAAATTATTTGAAATTAGGTTAGATTTATCCACATTTGCATTGCAAAAGAGGGCTTTATTAACACACGAGGGAAATATTGTTTTATAGGTAGTTTGGGACTTGAAAGCGTAGCTGAGATGGAAGACCCATGGATAGGAAACACCAAATACATGCAATTTTAAGCAAATGATGTGCAGTTAGTTGAAGAATAATCAATGTAAAGCCTTTTGAAGTGACAAAGCTTATATAAATAAAGGGTTTTTTTTACATTTTATTTTATGATGTAAGGTATTTTTGCTCTTTATTCAATTTGATGGGCATGTGCTGTTTGTAACCTAACTATACCAGTTATTCCATTTGCAAAGAACTTTGATTTTCAGAGTAATGCACAATAACTATAAAATGATATACAAAACCTTATATAGCTTTATAAGGAGCTGCTGCTGTGACCTCACTCCTACACTGAACTGCTTCCTTATGCACTTTGCATGTCTATGTTGACACCATGGATCCTCCCCTTATGTGCAGCTGTCATTTACTATCTTAGTAGTGCTTGTGCTGTTGGTCTCACTGTAATTCATGACAGACAAATGAAGCAAAGAGCAGGAGATCTCAAATCAAATCAAATATGCCCAGTCACAGATTATCAGGTCTGAAGGGTAGATATTTATCTTCCTCTGTTTTTTGTTTGTTTGTTTGTTTTATTTTGACTGCGTAATGTGGTTTCTTGACAATTTGAATATAGCAAAATACTGTACATACTGCTATTGAGTGTTCTTTATTATTTGCATTGTACCAGGCAAGCTGGAAATCACTCCAGAAGACCCGCGATGGATTGGAGCCTGGTGGGCGGGCTTTCTGCTTTGTGGTGCCTTACTCTTTTTCTCATCCCTGCTGATGTTTGGATTTCCACAGTCCCTCTCTACACATATGGATAACTCTGAAGAGAGCGAGCAAACCATGCTACCTGACCGGGAATATGAGAGGCCAAAACCCAGTAATGGAGTGCTGGGGCACTCTTCTGAGTCAGGAGAGGAAGCTTCCTGTTTTCAACAGCTCAGAGGTATGTAAGTATAGTGTTTTTTCTCCTAATAAACTCCTTAAAAAAGGAAACTTTTAAATCTCATAATAATGTATTGTTGTTTATAAATTTAAATAACTCAGACTAAAAAAAGTAAAAAGTGACCTTGCATGGCATTTGCCCTTTATAAATAACCCATCATAAATAAATGAAACAAACTCCATAGAGATTCTTGTTAAAGCTCATGAAGACATTTTAGATGTGTGAATGAAGGTAGCCGAGCTAAAGATGGTGGAACCCAAGGGAATGAGAGTTGAACTGTGGTCAGGGACAGAGAAACCGTGTTCCTAAACCAGAAGAGTTCTGTTGAAATCAGGACATATTCTTGAAAGATTAAAGCCATGCCCTGGAGAAATCAAGCCACATCACAAAGCAGTAGCGGAAAACCAACAACTAACTTGTCTGAAGTTCATTTCAGTCCACATGACCTACTACTTTCCTAGTACAAAATAAACAATCTATGTACCGCCTGTTTGTTATGAAGATCACTTAAGAAATTTCTGTAACAATGCAATATGTCTAATGATCTATCTATCTATCTATCTATCTATCTATCTATCTATCTATCTATCTATCTATCTATCTATCTATCTATCTATCTATCTATCTATCTATCTATCTTTTTGGTCAGACCAGCACTATGTCTGTTATTGCTCTAGGATATGCACCACATTTTTAGCATCTTATTTTTGTTGTTGCACTGACAATTCATTGCTTGTCATCCAATAATGGATTCTGGCCTTTGTAGCGTCATATTCCTAAATTTTTTACAAGTGGAGTCTTAATGAAAACCAAAGTGATTGATGTCTGTTTAATAGTTCAAGCAAAACAAATGACAAACGCACTCAACAATTTGTCACCAGTTATACAGTAAGGTGCACACGAAATGGGCTTTGAATAGTAAAACAGTAGAAAGGCATCATGGCACACTCACAAACCAGCATGTAAAACAACTTGTCTCGCCACTAAGGATAATAACAGAGGTTTGGATACACGTCTTCTGCAGAGGATATCCTTAGTGGTGAGACAAGTTGTTTTACATGCGGGTTTGTGAGTGTGCCATGATGCCTTTCTACTGTTTTACTGTTTAATAGTTCACACTCCAGCAGCTTATGTTGCAAGGTCCCGTGCCTCATGTTTACAGGTCAGCTACTTCTAATCTGCAGAACATCTACTTTTTGTGGCTTTAATATACTATAGGTACCCCTTGTTGAACAGAACTTCTCTCTATCTCTTTCTTTTCCAATATGGGAGCAGCAGGGAGGGACTCTGATGGCGCATGGGAGTCTTTCCCTTAAGCAGGAATGGATGGCAGGATGATCCAGAAGGAAGAGCAGTAGGCTGTTACTTTGAGAGGCAGAGTTATGTATGTATGTTTTGGTGGGATAGTGTGTTTGGGTGTTTTACTTAGAGAAGAGGCTCGGAGTGAGAAGCTGGAGGTACAACAGAGAGTAAGATAAGTCCCAGAGAGAGACCAGCAGGATGTGGCAGTTAGTCCAGTTGAGACATCAGCAGACCAGTGTCTATGTAAACATTGCCATCATGTGGAAATCTGAGACAAGATGTAATGTGGCGACTTGCCAGTACCTGTGTTGAACAGCAATATCACCAAAATCAGGAAAAAGGGACCCCAAAGAGCAGCTCTGCTGTTTATTGGGGAAAACTGGGAAGTCTAAATAAATACTGGTGTTTACGGTTGCTCTTTTTAAGTCTTCCATAGAATACCTGTTACTGCACCAAAACTTTACCATTCCATGCAAAGGTTTAAACAAAAGGCATACAACTACTGCACCTGCCCACAGATGGAGACAATACATAGAGAAGAGACTGTGCTTCAGTAAAGGCTGTGCCACCATTGCATGGGTAGGTTTACTGCCTGTCCAGGTTGTCACTTATAAGTTATCTGATAGATAGATAGATAGATAGATAGATAGATAGATAGATAGATAGATAGATAGATCGATCGATAGATAGATCTTATTTAGGGGTTTTATAGCATGGGGATGAACACTTATGCATACTCAAGATTTCTGTTTTTTCCCCTTAATTATAGTTTGTGACACACTTCAAATATTTTGTACCTACAAAGTGGTAGGCATGTTGTGCACATCACATGGTAAAAAGGACTTCCGGTTCCGGCGCCCAATGCTATAGACGAGCGCACCGGAGCTCCGTCCCGCCATCCGCCTAAAACTGCTCAACGGTCCGTCTCACACACCCGGCCAGCCTCACACAGCCTACCGCTCACTCCCCGAGGATGGACAGATACATCGACCGCCAACCGCGAGCCCGCAGAGCGCTCTCAGGGCGCTCCACTGATGGAGGGGACACAACAGATGCAGCCAATATGGCCGCCGAAGACATGCTGCAGGAGAGTGACACAGGCACAACCGAGGGTGAGTTAACCCCTGCATCCGTGGCCACAACAGCCATAGACTATGCCCTAATAGCCTCAGAGGTGACCAAACACCTAAAAGCAGATATAGCAGCCATAATTGCTGAAACGTTGCAACTCCACCTGGGCAAAATGAATGCTGCCATAGAAACCCAGAGTAAAAGCATACAGGCCATAGAACAGCGCATAAGTATTATTGAGGATGACGCTACAGATTCTCACCGCGCTTATGGCGATATGGCAAAGCGCATACATACTCTGCAGGAAAAGGTGGATGACTTGGAAAATCAATCCAGGCGCAATAATTTGAGAGTGATTGGCATACCAGAGACTGTGAAACCAATTGACCTCCGCGCCTTCTGCGCCAATACCATACCCAAGGCTTTGGGTCTACCCGCAACCTGCAAGGTTGAGAGGGCGCACAGATTAGGCCCACCCAGAGATGACAACAAACCAAGGCCTGTAATAGTGTGCTACCTTGATTATTATGATAAACAAAGTATTTTCCAAGCCTATTGCACTCAACGCAACCTTGCAGTGGAGGGTCTTAAGCTACTACTTTTCGCGGATTACTCCATGGAAACATCTAAACTGCGAAAATCTTTCCATGTCGTATGCCAAGCTCTGGTTCGTCATCGCGCAAGATTCGCACTACAGTACCCTGCAGTGCTCTGCTTCTCTACAGAAGATGGCAAGGCCTGGCGTTTCACATCCGCAGCTCAAGCGCAACACTTCCTCGACTCCTGGGGGAATTTCTCGTCAGCCTCCCCATCAAAGAGTCCTCCTCGCAAGAAGAGGACATGAACGATCACGGGGCGAGATCGTATCTCCTTCTTCTCCTACCCACTGTGGGGCTGGTGTCGGTTGTGGCGCAGATGCTCCGGGCCTATTTGATGCCTCTCTGCAGGTATTTTCCATCCATATGTTTTGTTGTTTATATGGCTCTTCTAGTCACGAAGGGCTAACTCATACCCAAGATGGCGGGATGGTGCGTTTTCCACACTTTTGGTTTAAGTACAGCGCTGACACAGATCCGTGAGTACCAGACCCGTTCTCACGTGTGGTCAGCTTTATTACGCTCGCATCGGGAAAAAAGGTAGTCACGTACCATGGATGTTCTCTTTTTTTTTTTCTCTTTTGTTGTATTTTTGTTTTCTCAGTTCTCAAACCAACACAATCGAGTCTCGCTGTACCTTCCCCTCCATATCGTGATCTGCCATGTCTGGAGACATGTCCCCCTTTATTGTAGTCCACCACACGCTTCCTCTACACCCCCAGAGGTTCATCAAGCAAATACGCTGCAGGGTATCCTGGGGAGCATTGGGACACCCGTGAACACCCGGACCAACATATGGCATTTAACATATGACATCTCCTCAATTCCGCCACGGATGCTATGGGAACCGCCTTGAACATAGTAACTTGGAACATTAAGGGACTGCGATCTCCCAACAAACGGCGTCAAATTCTCCGTCATCTCAAGAAGCTAAAAGTAGATATTGCCCTCCTCCAGGAGACCCACCTTAAGACGCCTGACATCGAACGCATCACCTAAAAGCAGATATAGCAGCCATAATTGCTGAAACGTTGCAACTCCACCTGGGCAAAATGAATGCTGCCATAGAAACCCAGAGTAAAAGCATACAGGCCATAGAACAGCGCATAAGTATTATTGAGGATGACGCTACAGATTCTCACCGCGCTTATGGCGATATGGCAAAGCGCATACATACTCTGCAGGAAAAGGTGGATGACTTGGAAAATCAATCCAGGCGCAATAATTTGAGAGTGATTGGCATACCAGAGACTGTGAAACCAATTGACCTCCGCGCCTTCTGCGCCAATACCATACCCAAGGCTTTGGGTCTACCCGCAACCTGCAAGGTTGAGAGGGCGCACAGATTAGGCCCACCCAGAGATGACAACAAACCAAGGCCTGTAATAGTGTGCTACCTTGATTATTATGATAAACAAAGTATTTTCCAAGCCTATTGCACTCAACGCAACCTTGCAGTGGAGGGTCTTAAGCTACTACTTTTCGCGGATTACTCCATGGAAACATCTAAACTGCGAAAATCTTTCCATGTCGTATGCCAAGCTCTGGTTCGTCATCGCGCAAGATTCGCACTACAGTACCCTGCAGTGCTCTGCTTCTCTACAGAAGATGGCAAGGCCTGGCGTTTCACATCCGCAGCTCAAGCGCAACACTTCCTCGACTCCTGGGGGAATTTCTCGTCAGCCTCCCCATCAAAGAGTCCTCCTCGCAAGAAGAGGACATGAACGATCACGGGGCGAGATCGTATCTCCTTCTTCTCCTACCCACTGTGGGGCTGGTGTCGGTTGTGGCGCAGATGCTCCGGGCCTATTTGATGCCTCTCTGCAGGTATTTTCCATCCATATGTTTTGTTGTTTATATGGCTCTTCTAGTCACGAAGGGCTAACTCATACCCAAGATGGCGGGATGGTGCGTTTTCCACACTTTTGGTTTAAGTACAGCGCTGACACAGATCCGTGAGTACCAGACCCGTTCTCACGTGTGGTCAGCTTTATTACGCTCGCATCGGGAAAAAAGGTAGTCACGTACCAT